CATCTTTCAAATCTCATATGTCACGATACCATAGGAATCACTCACTAAAAATTATTCCAGAGTACCAGGAAATCAGAAATGACATGATGTCAGGAGAAGAGGAAACACACACACATGATGGCATTTATGCTATTGTTGTTGACTCAGAGTTTTCAGATATCAATAATAGTAGCAAACATGACTCGGACATCATTATGTCAGAGGAAGATTTTACTCGTAACTTAGCACTTTTCTGCTTGAAACTGCAGGCAGAACATTTGATTCCAGAAAGTACTGTTCAATGTATAGTTGAGGAACTTGGAAACATACAAACAATAGCTAGTGAAGCTTACATGTTTAAACTTAGAAACATATTGCAAGATGAAGGTCTACAGGAAAATAGTATTCTTAATATAACCAATCACATGGAATGTACAAGTGAATGGAATGCTGCATTGAAAAAAGGTTCTGGATCTTTAAGGTCTGTTTACATGAGAAAAAAGTATTATCAGTCCCAAATGATTTATGTAATGCCTGAATTTGTATGCTTAGAAAGAAATCATCTTCAAGGAGCTGTTTGCTGCCACTATGTATCTCTTAAAGAAACACTTGTCATGCTTTTGAGAGACAAATCTGTTCAGGCCCATATTAAAGACTTGCATGAATATACTAATACTGGTATTTTGTGAGACTTCACTGATGGAAGTGCATTCAGGAATAATGAATTTTTTCAAGTGCACAGGAAGTCATTACAACTCATACTATTCCAAGATGCATTTGAAATTGTAAATCCTCTGGGCTCTAGCAAGAAGTATAAGATGTTGGGAGTTTACATGTCTCTTGGAAATATCCCACCACAATTTCGGTCCTCCATTAACAACATTCAGCTTGTTCTCTTATGTAGAGAAAAAGACTTAAAAATATTTGGGCAGGACAAGATTTTTGAAAGGTTGATTAAAGACTTGAAAGACTTAGAACAAGTTGGAATAGAGACACCTATTGGTCTGCTTAAAGGTTGTGTTGTTTCAATTACAGGTGATAATTTAGGGTCACATTGCATAGGAGGCTTCACAGAAAACTTCAGCACTACACTATATTTTTGTCGGTATTGCGATATTACTCATCATGAATTTAATACAGGTAATGCATTTGCTTCTGGTGAGGAGCGTAGTCGAGAGAGCTACTGTACAACAATGCAATCAGATATCTTGAAGAGAACCCTGGTGTTGATTTATACACAGGAATTAAGTTTGACTCTGTGTTCAATTCATTACATTATTTTCATGTATGCCCATATGGTCTTCCCCCTTGTTTGGGACATGATTTGTTTGAGGGTGTAGTCAACTTTGACTTGGCTCTGTACTTGAAATATTTCATCAAAACTAAACATTGGTTCACTTACAACATTTTGAACAGAAGGATACAGAAATTCAAATATAATTCTACAGATTTAAGAAATAAGCCTGCTGAAGTTAATATAAAAGGCAAAGTGCTTGGTGGTCATGCAGTACAGAATTGGTGCTTACTGCGACTGTTGCCATTTTTTATAGGTGATAAAATACAAGACACAGATGATCGGTGCTGGCAGATATGCTTGCTGCTGAGGGATATTGTTGAATATGTCTGTGCTCCTTCTATTTCCAGAGAGCAAATTTGTTATCTAAAGGTAATTGTGGATGAGTACCTTGAGTGTAGAAAAAGTGTCTTCCCAGAACAAAAGCTTAAACCGAAGCATCACTTTTTGTCCCATTATGCAACGTTGATATTGAAGTTTGGACCTCTGATCAGGCTGTGGACAATGCGTTTTGAAAGTAAGCATCAGTATTTCAAAAGGTGTGCGTACAACTGTCATAACTTCAAAAATGTCACGAAGACACTGTCCGAACGACACCAGCTCCTTCAGGCTTACTTCAGTGGTGGATCTGTATTGCCAGTTGAAATTGAAGTTAAGGGGGAAATATCCTTGTACCCTGGTGTGTATGCACAACAAATTTCAAGAGCAGTTCAAGACCTTGGACTAAATGCTGACAATTCAGTTGTTAGCCAAGAAATCAATCGGTATGGAACAGTCTATAAGAAAGGACTGTATGTACCAATTAGTGTCTCTGATGATAATGTTTACACATTTGGTTGCATCATGATGATTGTTGTCAGGGAGTGCAAATTTGTCTATTTTGTTGTCAGGCACTATCAAACTGCATATTTGGCAGATATGGGCGTGTATAGCCTTTTAAATGAGCAGGAGCTTGATTCATACATGGTTTCATGCATTGCAATTTCCGATCTGCTTGATTGGTTTCCTCTTTCAGCGTACTCTCTTAATGGTCAATTAGTGATCTCAATGAAGCACAAATTCTGCAAGAAGTAGCTTGCATGTATTGGAATGTGTCTCTTAATTTTTTTTTTTCATATTCTGTTTTAGATTTTATGAATTTAATGCAAAGTGTTTAATTATCAAAACGCAAATGATGCAATATTTTTGACTTGCGTTATAAATTCAAAATGAACAAGTTAATATCCAATTTTATTTTTATGATAACATCCTCCTTGGTGGAGAACTAGTTAGTAAAAAATAAATATGCACTATGCAAATGTTCTGGTACCACATTCATCTATTCTTACCCATGTGAAATTTGTGATAGTGAAAGACAAATTATTTTTTATTTTAATATTTGACCTATAGAACCTTGAAATAAATATGAGTGATGGGGATACCATAGACTTGCAGATTCTTAAAGAATACATCTTGGAAGTTTTGACACATGCATCAGATGATGTATTAGATGATATTCTCGAGAAACTTCTGGAACTAGGTGTAGAGAAACCTTCCGATTTTCAATATGTTGATGAGAATGATCTACAATGCCTTTGTCTAAAGAAGATACAAGTTCGGAAACTTTTGAAAAGCTACAAGGAAGGTAAGTTTATTAACATCTCCTTGCCAGCATTATAGTTTTTATATTTAAAGTGCAAAACATTTCCTTACTAATGTGTACATTGCTTGAATATAAAAAAAATGTTTAATTCATGTCAGTTAAAGGAACCTTATGGTCCCTGTTCCTAACAGAGGGCCCACAGGCCACATTTGTATTTTACTTTCCTGAACACTATGATTGTTTTTAAAAAAAAAAAAGGTGGAAAATGTAATATCCTTATTTTATTTATATTTTTTGAAATTTAATAAAAAAAAAAAAAAAACCTTTGCAATAAAAAAAAATTGTAGGCAGGTGTACCTTATGGCTCCTGTTCCATGAGGTACATGCAGGCCAACTTAATTAGTCCACGAAGTAAATGAAAAGTTCATTTGAATAAATAAATTAAAAAATGAACAATTATAATCTAAAGCATAAATGATCATTTTCAGACTTTAATGTTCTTTTAATAATATATTATTCATAATGAAGATAATTTCTTAGTCTTCCCAGCCTAAGGCATGAAATTTAGAAAATTTATATCATTTTAAGTATGAAAATGCAATTTCTGGGTATCTAGATGTCCAATACAGTTAAACTTGCCTAAGTCAACTGTGCCTAAGTCGAATAATTTTTAAGTCAATATTATTTTACATACCAAATTGTTGTTTTCCATTAATTAACAATCTGTGTGTCAAATTTTATCTAAGTCGAACACTATTTCAATGGCATTTTGGATTTGATTTGGGCAAGTTCAACTGTATTTTCCAAATTTGCACACACCTGAGCACCAACTAAGTTCAGGCTAAAGTGATTCTCAACTCTTCCTGCTGCTTAGTTTTAATTTACCCAGATCAGTAATTAAAGTTACTTAATAAAGTAATGTGACATTTCCAGGCATACAGGTAGAGATGCCAAATTTGAAATTTATTTCCCACCGAAGTAATGACCATGGCGGGGCTGAGGTGTTTTTTTTTCTTCTTGCATTTGATTCACTTTGGTATTCAATCCTGAAAGTTAATTGCCTCCCACCCAAACAAAATAGGAAACAGGGCCTTATAGTGCCAACAAGCTTTCCTGTTACCTCACTTTTACCAGTGAGCATAGTCAAAAACAGACCACTGCAAAAGTAATGCATGCTGTTCATGACAAACAGTACATTATATACCCTGAGTGATTGACTTAAAAAATGGAGGATATTGAGACTGGAACAAAACAAAATTAAATGAAGTGGAGAAAAGTTATCTTCATATCTTTTAAAATAATTGATAAAACCCATGATTGTATTCTTTATCTGAAGTCATAAGTTTATTTTGGTGTCTAACTACATGTTCTTTTAGACCAAAGAATTTATTATGGTGTAAAAAATAAATTTTGGGGGTTTATGGGTTTTGAGAAAACATACAGTATTACAGTACTGGTACAATTTGGAAGGTCTGGTGTGAAAGTACAGGTCTCATTATAAAGTATTTTCTTTGAACACCATGATTGGTTTTTTTAATGTTGAAAGTGTACCATCTTTATTTTTTTTTTTTTTTTTTTAAATATGAAAAAGAAAACATTGCATTCAAAATAACAATTCTTGTTAGCAGGGAAGAGTGGTTAATTGAATAGTATAAATAAAATAAAACCAAATTACTATGCACTAGCAAAAATGTATTTCAAAGGCTAGTCATTGTATTATGTTGTATGTCACCATGTAAATAAACACCAAAATTAAGTAAATTCTTTAAAAAAAATTACCATCGCATTGATTTAAATAATTTTAAAAACTGGTTTTTAAAATTATTTAAATCAATGCGATGGTAATTTCCCCCCTCACTTTGTACCATCTCATTTTTATTATTTCCCAAAATATTCCCAGATTTGCGACTTTATTTTTGAAAATATATTAATTTTATTCCCATATCATGCACAGGGAAACCAAGTGCCAAACTGATAATGAGTGGATCGTCTTCGACATCACCTTGCTCAAGTAGTATGACAGATTTGTCTCCTGACAGATTCAACTGGAGTTCGTCTTATACAATACCATGGGCAAAAATGCCACAAAGTCTTCAAGATAGTATAAAAAAAATGGAGAGACCTCTCCCGGCAGTAAGACGAGAAATGATTAGGGTTTTAGCTGATGATATTTCCAAAACATCAGGTAGACCCACGCGTAGTCAACTTGCTGATGTTGCTTCAAAAATAGTATCGGAATACCCTAAAAGTTTCCAAGACAATCTGGATGATGCCATAGTTGGTACTGGCTATAATTCTATTTTAACACAACTAGAACACAGATTTCAGAACATTAACAGGACTGTCAAACCTACAAAGAGGCCCAACAGTCCAAACAGTCTTGATTCTAATAAGTCAAAAAAACGTAAGAGAGGAGCTTCTACTTCATCCTATGGCTCAATTGCAAAGGAGTACCAACCTGAATTGCCAGAAGAAGAAGATGAGTCAACTCAGGATTTAAAGAAAGAAGCTCTGAAGGATATCTATTCAAGTAGAGTTTGGAATTTAGATGATTTAAAGGGTTATCTTGATGAAACATACCCAACAGTGAGGCTTCTGATAAATGAGGGCTCTCAGTCTATTACAACACTGAAGAAGGAGTGGCCATTTCTTTTTGAGAAAGTTGGAATGCTTCATCATTTTGAAAGACTAGTTGGAATTGAAGTGCAAGAAACACTTACAGCAGCCTTGGTTTCCAAACTTCCAAGAATAATGCAGTTCATGAATGCCAAACAGACTACCAGCAAACCACTCAGGAAAATCCTGAAAGAAATTGAGGCAGCCAAACGTGAAGACGATACCAATAACCCTGATATTATTGGGCTTTTGTTATTATTGGCAACATTTTTTGGGGAGGACACCAGAGATTTCATCCATGTTGAAGAGGTATTCTTTTATGACTATATCTTGTACTGTATTTATTATTCACAAATGAACAAAAATTACTTAGCAATTAGATAAATTTCCACCCATCACATCGGTGCATTAACATGACTGCATGTTGGCTGATTATTCAGTTTTTATTGATATGGGCAAGGCTGAACAATCAGCCAAACCTGTTAAGGTAAACTATGATATTATTGCTTAAGTAAACTTTTAAAATATTGCTACAGTACAGTACAAAGCAGAATGATTTTTTAATACGATAGTTATTTCTCCCTGTTGATTTACTTTTGCGGTGACTTGCCTACCTGTCTTTTGATAGTGTAGCGTACAGTATGTTGTATCGTCCGATACATGTAGTTTTTAGTTATTACATCCATAATATTTGCTTGGATTTTGTGGGTTACTTTGTGTTTGTGTTTGGAAGGGTCTGAGAGTTTATAATCCCCTATTTTATATATTACATTTATATTTTATTATTTTATATTTTACATAGTATATATATAAACATCCATCTAGTAGTTCCATTTCTTTGTAGAGCAGTGAAATTAACTTTTGTACACCTGTACATTGACAAGCAAATGAGGCATGTCGTGGCAAAATGGTTAAGTTGTCGCACAGGCCAGTATTGAGTAAATGAGCTATAAAATATGGGAGCTCAAAAAATTGCCTAAAAATCCAAAATTTTTTTTCACTAAAGATCAACAGTTTAATGTCTTATTAATCATGTCCCAAAGTATTAGTTCTGGAAGTGATCAACAAATTGTTTATTTAATGTTATTTAGATAGTTAATTCTATTAAACAATGTATGCACAAATAACTTTGGAAGGCAATTACTCCGTGGAGAAAATAAAATATTTATTTTCTCCATGATTACTCAAAGTCATGTTTATCTTGACTCTAAGAGTGTCGTATTTTCACTTTCCAATAACTTAGGCTTGAAAAGTCCAATTTCAATGAATGACCCCTTATTGTAAAGATAACATACTCAGGTATATGAAAATACCAATAACTTGAATTTCAAATTTTGCTACAACTTAGCCATTTTTCACAACATGCCTCAAATGAGCTCATGTACTTTGAATATGGATCTAATTACATCATGTTTCATTTAGGAGACAAGCCTAGAAGCTGACATTGATAAGGATACTCTCCCAGTCACCCCTTGTATAATAGCGCTTGGTAAGTGATATAATTATTATATACAATGTTAAGTGTTTGCATTACACCATGCAGTATCTCAACATTCACAAATAATTTTTTTTTTTTATTTGGCAGGAAAATATTGAGATATTCCCATCAACACAGTGATTCTTCTCAGGACCATTTACATTGTACTGCAAGCATTTAACATTGTTATTTCACCATGTAAACCTACATGCAATAATATACAAATAAAATAATTAAATATTACACACATAATTAGATTTGCATAAAACTATAAATTGATTGATTTTTTTTTTTTATTTGGCAGGAAAAGATATAGATATTCCCATCAACACAGTGATTCTTCTCAGGACCATCTACATTGTACTGCAAGCATTTAACATTGTTATTTCACCATGTAAACCTACATGCAATAATATACAAATAAAATAATTAAATATTACACACATAATTAGATTTGCATAAAACTATAAAATTGATTGATTGATTTTATTTATTTATTTATTCATTTGGCATTGAGTTTGCATCACAATATTTAGGTATTTTGAGCAGCATTCTACTGTCATACAGTAACATGCATTAGGAGCCTACTGTTTATTGATTTCTCAATACATTTACTCAAGCATGTTGCAAAATAAATATTGATGCACACTAAAACACATTATGTTTAACTTAAAATATTTGGTTAACTTTTTCAAATACCTTGACTGTTCAAAGTTAAACGACGGAACATATTTGGAAAATTATGCAAATCGTACTGTGTTATTAAGTACCCATTATACTTCAGGATACTGTGGTTGTATTACCAGAAATTGTAGCTAGAAAGGTTAGTTTCTTCTTAATACCAGGTACATCAGCAGTGACATCTAAATGCTTCATGCTCGTCATCGACAGGGAGATACTAAGTAAATTGTAATATTTCTTCACCATTGGAGGCACTGTGCATCCTGTTTGCATCATTTTTTGTGTTTAACATTGAGTATGCAAAGACGGCAGTGACAACTTTAGAGTTTTTGCAACGGTAAGTATTGCATAATAATACAATTTGTGTTTTCAGGATCATATTGATCTTTTTACTCTAATGTAATGATGTAGTTACATGTGAAGAAAATGTTATCCTATTAAAGTTACTTTTGATTCCATGATGACAAATTTACAAAGTAAACCTAAACCATTTAGAACAAACATGAAAAATGATATCCCTTCAAAAAATGTATAATTTTAACCATAAGTATGCTGAGCTTGTTAAAATTTAAGTGTACCTTGTTAAAGATAAAGCTTATGTAGTATTGGCAATCAGAAAGGGAAAAGGGGGAAAACTAAACATAGTATTATTGGCCTATTACATAACCTGCTGGAATTTGTGTATAAACCACCTGCTAATTTAGCCTTTTCTGATATATGGCTTATTTTGGGTATTTTCTGAATATAATCCAGCACCTAATTTTTGGCTAATTGTAAAAAGCCCTGCGTGGGCTTATACTACTGTAGGTCAAAAAGGATGCATGCATAAATGTTCATGCCTGCTTATAATTTGTCATTTCAGCTGTCTGGTTCGAATCAATCCAGCCAAAATGAAAACTTGGAGAGGTAGTGCCAAAGTTCTTTCTCTAATAAACAGCTTAAAGGACTTTGAATCTGACTGGAGCTAGTGGAGTTTTTGATGCGGTGTATATCAAAATTAGGTGTTTCTTTTTATGATGGAGTATTGGTAATTCTGGGGCAAATACATGTCCTTGGGGTATTTGTTTTTCAAGAGCAGTGTTCATAAAGAAAATGGTGTTCTAAATGGCGTGTTTATTCAAAAACATATATGGTAAGCCATTTTGTTGGTCATTGGTTTTAGAGTTTCTAGAGTTCCGTTCATGAAGTATTAGATTAGAAAAAGAATTATTTCTTGAAAAGTGAATAGACGACGATATCATAAAAAACATACTGACAACCAACTTTTACTTCTGGTGCATAGAGATAACTGTCATGGACTGTCTTGTATGTGATCTACCATATTTATGCAATTGCCTCATGTGAGTTTATCTTATTAATTTTGTCTTGCCAAACTAAGATAGGGCCTATTTTAAGTTGAATCCATTTGCATAAACATGTGGAATATTCTTTTCAAGTGTTTTTTTCATCTGACATTTTAATTTATATGTGTTTATTCAGGTGAATCATTGACTTTATTGAGTTTGTAAGCTAAAAATCTTTAAACTCAATAAATAGATGTCATGCCCCAAAGCGTTTTTTTTTTTTTTTTTTTTACTGATGTGGAGTGTAATGACAATTGTTTTCTTCTAGATTGGGTATTTATTAATATAAATACTGTATGGCAAGCCATTTTGATGGCAAGGAATTGTTGGCCATTTGTTTAAGAGTTAACAGTTTACGAAGTGTTAAATTTGAAAAATTATTATTTGTTGCAAACTGAATAGATGACGATATTCAGACATTCCAATGCTTTGATTGAAACTAAAGCGTTTTTAAATACAGAACTCAAATCTGGAAAAAATATTTTGAAGATTTATAAATTGGTTTAATCATTGTTGCCAGAATTATTTTTTTATATTGAAGTTCATTTAAATGTTGCATGTAGTTGCCAGAATTACTATTTCATATGGCAAGCCATTTTGATGGAATTGTTAGCCATTTGTTTAAGATTCAACAGTTTATGAGGTGTTAAATTTGAAAAATGATTACAGTATTTGTTGCAAACTGAATAGATGACGATAACAGACATTCCAATGCATTGATTGAAACTAAAGTGAATTGTACTGTATTGATGATAAGAAAGTTTAAAGAATGTGGCTGCATGTTTGGGTTACATTTGTGGATTTATTGTTAATTACAATAAATATATGAAAATGGCTGTAGAACGTCTCGGAAATTTATTTGTTTAGTAATTTGACACAAGCATCATATTCTATCATCAACACTTAATAGTAAAAATGTAAATTCATATTTGTTTAACCATGCTGTAAAAGGTGATGACAAAATACCTGTTATTTGACTTAATTTTACATAATAAATGTAAATGTTACATAAAGAATGTATGTAAATGAAAACAAAACATGTGATGTTATGTGAAAAAATAGAAAATCTCCTTGCTGTTAATTTACAGGAAGTGTTGTAATTTATCATAAATAGAATAAACCTAAAAAACGACATCTTAGTATTTTTAATGTATCTGCAGTATGTAAAATATATTTACAGAAATTAGGTAAACAGAAAACACAACATATGATGTTATGTAAAAAAACAGAAAACGTCTGGCGATGCAGTTGCCAGAACTTTTGCTGTAAATTTACAGAGAATTTTTTTACAGTGTAGGCCCACTGGAAAATTGCCAGAAAGAAATAGGCCTATACAGTAATACGCACATGTGTTCCCAATATCACAAGGGCTACATACTTTTCATAGCCATATTATTATTAACTTATTTATTTATTAAATTTATTATATATAGTTTCTCAGGTATATAAATTACAATCGACAACGAACAGCAGAATTTGATTGCATTACAATATAAAAAAAACACAATACGTCATTTAGGTGAAAAAAGAAGACATTGGTTGCAACACTGTACATTAAATTGAAAATTACCAAAAGAAAACTAAAGAGTTGCAAATAAAATAGTTATTGTTTGCTATTGAAAAATATAAATCTATATATCAAAACAATAAATCCTATAAAAAAAAATTACTAATATTATTTGATTACTGTAAAAGGAATAGCAAAATCATCAGTAGTAAAGCTGTTCATGGTAATAGTCCTTATTTTTACTTACAGTTTCAAGGGAAATATTCACTGACAAAACTTCACTGACTGAGATTATTATATAGTAACATTTAGTCAGTATAAAAGTGGATACGCTCCCGTGCATGGAAATTTTAAGATGGGTCTCATGGCAATTTTATGATGGGTCACATGGAATTTTAAGATGGATCCAGTAGTATAACCCCCACCACTGTTCCGCAACCTTTTTAGACCACGACCCAAATTACATGTTAAGTACTCTGAACTCGACCCATCGAACTCGAAGACAATAAATCACGTCCACCGTTTTATATGCGCGAGGGATAGGCCTAGCTGGTATTAGAAGATACTACCCACTTGATTCTTTTGGCAAAAGATACTATCACCAACAAAATCAATTTAATACCCATAAGAAATTAAAAATATAACTTTGAATTACTAATTTAACAAAACCACGTAAGGTAAGTTATCAATTTTTTAAATATGTTAAAGGTTTGTAAAAATAAATTATTTGACATTTTACTATACATGAAATCCTACATTTGCTGCTTGAAATATATGGGTGATGTGAAGACAGAGACACATTTTGAAAACTTTTCCGCTGAAAGCGAAACACAGTTGAAATTAACAAACTAACACCAGGTTGTCATACCTGAAGTTCAAATGTTTTGATAGTGTACTTTTTTAACATGAAACTTAATGATAACGCACCCATTACACGACGCACATACCACATTTTAATTCCAGTTTCGTTTACTGTAATTTCGTTTGTCCTCGTTCGTATTAAGTAAAGTTTTCACGATATGAAAATTTTATGCGACCTAGGCCTATCAAAAGTTTTCCAGGACCCAAGCATTGGGTCGCGACCCATAGGTTGCGGAACGATGGTATAGCCAATATATTCTTTTTCATGCCAATCTGGATTACGTGATATCCTGTTAGATCTTAAAGCAAAGAATGTGTCATTTAATTGGCTCTTCTCCAGTAGGATACATTTTTTGCACTTTTATTCCAATAAATCGTGACGTCATCACTTTAACGCCAAATGTTATTTGCCTATCCCCCACAGTTCACTAATTTATATATATGATAAATTGAAATAATAAAGATATTTTGAAACATAAACAAACATACATAAACACATACACGCACACATACATGCATACATACAAAC